AAAAATCTTCGTACTCGTCAATGGCAGGGATATTAAATCGGTTTTATTAAGACTTCGTTTTTAAATAATGGGGAGTTTACGAACTCTCTTTCGGTTGATGATGTGAGCCAAAATCGCAAAAAATCCCAAATGATGTCGGCATGGCAGGGGAAAAATCGTCAAAAGTTGCTGAGTGAAGTAAACGGATTTTGCAACATTTGTGAAACTGTGTTAACGCGCCGGTAGAATGACACCGAATCGAATAATCTGCCATAACACTCGTGAAATCTAGCCGCGTTTATTCCACAGCAAATTTAAGCAGTTACGTCTTAGATGAGATTCAGAACCACGAAGTGAAGGCAGCCATCTACGCTCCACTGCATCCGCAAGACCATTCAAAGACCTGCTTCCATGGTTGATTACGTGCATCGCCCTCAGCTGATTGCTGAAGGAACTCCACTTGTCGTCTCAGGGGACAACTCGTTGGACAAGTGGATCAACATTCTACTTGAATATAAAAAAGCCAATGCAGATCGCTAGACACCAAATCGTCTTCTTTGATCAACTGACATGAAAATCGTCAATTGCGCTCGGTGCTTATGACAATCGGACTTGGTGCACACCTCGATATCACCCTCTTCGCTAGCTTTTGAGGCGTTTGACTGAGATCAGCCTCTCTCAATTGGTCAGCACAGTGTCCGTGTCACATCCAATCAGCGCTTCGCATTGTGACTAATCGTGAAGATCACGATCATCTGTGAGATATGCCGGGTTGATGGTGCTTGTGGCCCTCGTGTGGTATTGTTACCACGACGAGAGATTTGAAGCGCCAAATATCTCATTAAATACATCGTTTCAGTCACTTTATTGTGCATTTTGCAATGAAGCACATGAAATTGCAGTAGTTTATAACCATTTACCTATGCTCACTAGCAGATTGGGGTATTGTTCCTTATATTTGCAATGATCGGTCTCGCCTTCTCTTCACTGCTCTGAATGGCTTCGTTCCACGTCCGCGGTTATGTGTCTGGGTTCCTATTTTTTGAAAACGGATATCCGTTGCCCACAGCATAATTAAATTCACAATTTAATCGTGTGGTATCCGGATGTGCTTATTGGCTGTTTTTGGAAAAGCAGCCTAGAGATACAAGAGATGCACCATGTCATAATTTCCCATGTAATTTTTGAAGAATATACTATTGTGCTGTTCTTCTCATACGAGAGTTTTCCTAATTGAGCTGTGTTCAAGATGGTTCAAGGATTTTTTGAATAGGCGGTAACTGATTTTGATCATTTGTTTTAACTTCTCCTAGAACACTGTTTAAAGAAATTAACTTACTTTTGAACTGCATCCATTAAAACAAAACTCCAGAAATTGTAATAAGTACTCTTAAAGTGGAATATAATTAAAAAGTTGACTGTACAGAGAACGACACCTACAATTTGAGTTGATTCAACAAACGGAATCAGGGAAATTGTGTTTGAGATGAATTTTCGAGGACAATGGCACACCAAACGACCTTGAACTGATCACATCATTGGTGTGCAGTGTTGAGGTTCTGCTCAGGCCTCGCGTCTGGCGGTCGGTTCCTTTGAATAAATCCATCAAAATTCGCCTGTACTTGCCCCAGTAGACAACGTAGATGAAGAAGTTGGCTGCTGAGTGCAACAGCGAACCGAACACAGCGAGGGGGGAGAAGATTTGTCGGGCAATCAAAACGCGACACGCGGCCCCCTCGGGGAACCAATTGAATGCGAGGATATTGACCGGCACCAGCGGTAGCATCAGAATGGCAAAGACGACAATGACTATGAGGAGCACGCGTGTCACTTTTCCGCGTGTTCTACGCAACGGTTCTGACTTGCGTCCAATCCTTCCATGCGTTAGCTCCGCGTGTCTGATTGACCGGCATATCTGCACGCTGCAGACAGTGAGGATAAGGAGGGGCAGAAGGGTGACCATGATGGCGTCGGTCGTCGAATGGATCTGACGGAGGCGATGGAGTGTGTTGGCGTAGGCGTTGCCGCACTTCTCCACGGCTATCGACGCCATGTAGGGTGTCCGGAATAGCACCGAAGAGATGGCGCACACGGCAACCAGGACATTCACCTTCGCCACACTTAACCAGCGCCTCGCTTTCAGGGGATAACAGGTGATTATGAAGCGCTCTACGCAAATCAGAACAACCAGCCAATTGCGAAGCATCTCAAAGATGTTGACAAGCGAGCTCACGGGAAGCAGGTAGCTGACGGAGAAGAAAATTCCAACGTAGCGACAATTTCTACCGCAGAGCATCACTGGTTGAAGGTAGAGAGTTGAGGCCAGTGGAAAGACTATGTCGACCACAGACATGGACAGGAGGAGCCGACGAGTTGTCGGTGGTGTTAGATGATCTTTCGAGAAGAGAATAACACTCATCGCACTGGTCACAATGCCAATGAGAGAAATCGGTAGACCCAGATACGTCGTAAGAGTGACTCGGTAGACTATGAGTAGCTGGAGAACTTTAAGACCATTGTTCCAGAGCTCAAAGTCCAGGCATTTGGTGAAGTTACTCACTGCTGCTGTGGAATTCATGGCAGTGACCTTGGAGCAGAATTATCCCCTGCTTGTTTGGATGTCTCCTTGATCTCGATGTGGATTGGCTGGGGCTTGGTTGCGATGGGCCAATCATCCTCGGCCATTTCCATTGTGCAGCATGAGCTAGGTTTCGCCTTGACAACGCCTCAGCTGCAGTAAAGTTAAAGTACTTTGCAATGTTCTTACAAAAATTTTAACAACTGAACAACAACAATAGATTCTTGAATAGCTGTTCCATACTATGGATTCAGGGGGAAGCGTGTGCGCTGCATCTACAGCAAAACATACTGAACACACCTGTTTCAATCTTGTTTGTACTCTAAAAACAGTTAGGATAAAGCTTAGTTGATTTCAAAGGGGGTAAAAACTAGAGAAATTGACCGTGAGTGACCTTTCGTGGCCAAACGCTGACTGCGGAGGACGGCGTTGTGTGTGTGGTCCACCCAACGCAGTGACACAACCCAAACAAAGCGGACATCGTCCCTCTCACCATGACAACACTACACCATATGTCGCCCAACACACACCGCAATCAACCAGTCTGTAAAAATGACAAATAATTTACCAACAACTGCCGTGTTCCCTCGTCCATGTAACCTCAAGCTCTCGTGTGTTCGTTGTTCATTGCAAAACATTTCACGGGCACAAATTTGAGCCTTGGAAAGAAGCCAAAGCACATTTTGCGACTTATTTTAAAGATGCAATTCGCACAGTTTCAGTAATGACGAAATTAGAAAATGTTCATGGCAAATGTTGCAGAGTGTGCTGTTGACAAATGATGACTGCCTTTTGATGGATATGAGCAGCATTCAACTCCGATTTCAGAACTCCAACCTTCATGTTGGCATCTAACGGATTTCAATCAGATTATGACCGGCTTTAGCATTTCCCTCAGATTGTAGGATTCAATGTCTAACCACTTCTATCAATACCAAAAGGCCTTTTGCCTTAGCGTCAGTCACGTGCTCGATCAAATAGCAAAGCCACACCTCAAGTGAACACTTCAAGCTCGTCTACAGACCCCTTCACGATTTACCAGCCACCAACATGTTACCACGTCGAAATCAATTTACTCCCTTGTGTGAAGGCCTGTCACAGTCATCAA